ATTGTTCCTAGTACCAATATGCATTACAAAATTAAGATAAACTTTCTTAAAAATAGAGTTAATGGTTTGTCAACTTTAAAATTTTAGACATTTTACTAATGTTAGAATTATTTCTCCAGCTACTCAATATATGAAAATAGTCACATATTGGAAGTGGCATGTCACTGAGAAGGAAGGGTTTTGAAATGAGTGAAAACACTAGGTGGGACAAGAGTGTTTTTGTTCAAATTTCAGCTCTACCATTTAATAAGCTGTATTACCTTGACGTGTTTACCAGTTCTTTCAGTGCCTTTATTCTCTCCTCTGAAAAAAAATGAAGATAATGGTAGTCATTTATGGGTCACTATTCATTAATATCTAACAGCATACAGTAGACAGTAGCAATTATTATAAACTCATATTATGCCTGGAACCAAAGTCCACACATTTGCCTGTCAGGTATTGCTTCTATGAGGATGAAATGGCTACTAGGGTCCTTTGAGTTCAGGTGAACATTGGGACTCACAAAAATATCATAGGCTACACATGGTACAAGTTTGTCAAAATAGCTATAGGACAGGAAATATACTTTCCAAGTAGGTTGTAATTTTCTCTCAGCAGGAGCCCCAGCAGAAATAATTAGCATGGCAGTTTGCACAGGCATTGGGCAACTGTGCTTTCCCCAGGTGACAGACCAGGTGCAAGGATGTAAGATCTGCATCAATGGAAGCATGGTTCATTTAAACTTAGAATTCTCATACTAGGTCAGGTCTGATAAAAAAATATTACTTCCTGAATATGATGAGTTAGAATAGTATTATATGACATTCTGGTATTTTGACATGATACAGGTGAGAAATGTATAAAATCAAAAGAAGGAATATCTAGCATATCTTTATGAATATTTCTCTTGCTGTCAATAATTACAATAGAATTTTGACAAGGGTTTTTTAGCAGACATCAACTTAACTAGTTGTCAAGAACATGTGTTGTAGGTAATTAATATGGTCTTTTGTAAAAAGATCCAGATTTTTTTTCTATACTAGTTACATGGACATAATGTTGACATCTTCTGAGGAAAAAAAAAAGATAGCTTTTATGATAAAGAGTTACTGATATATTTCCAAGTAGGAGCAAGTCTTTTATTTGAAAACATCTTTAAAACTGGTCAAATTTGTACTGTAGTTTAACTGAAACCATATAATATATACACAAAGCACAGAAGAGACACTGTAATTAAAGAAAGTTCAGATTGAAATAAGAAGGTAATATTAAATAAGACTCTACTGAGATGGGAATTATTTGGATGCTTTGGAAAATATAGCTCACAATTAGAATCAGTGAATTTATTAAACCTAGTTACTTATTATTCATCTAAATATAATAAAAAACCTGTCAATTTATGTTTGTGCATATACAATATGCAAAACTAGTAGACTATTGGGCTAAATTATTTTGAAACCACATCAGTTTTCTGAGCATAAGCATAAATCACCAGCATAAGTGATATTGGTGGCATCTATAGATATTTACTTTGTAAATGGTAGATTTGATTTAATCCAGAAAAGAAGCCCTTAATTTAGGTCACATTAGTCTTTGAAAAACTATTAGAACTCTTCCTTTTTGGAAGGATGGGAAGGGAGCTACTATATGTGAGAACATGCAAATGTTTACATGTATCAGTATGATATCTGAGGGATTTCGAAGATGTTACTGTTCCCATTGATACCTCCATCAAAAATACTTCATCTAGATCAGGGGAGAGTGCCACTAGATTTGGGGAAAAAGAGCTTCCTCTACAGTAAACACTTCAAGTTATATTTGCCTGAAAAAATTTTCAATTAATGTAAGTGATTTGCAATAAATAGAGATTTTGTGGATCTGAGTTTTACAATCTCTTGGTTTTCTCTACCAGATCTTTGGAATAAATAATACTCTTGTCTTTCACAGGTACATTTGTAAAGTTTAGAAAATTTTGTTCAATAAGTTGAACACAGATCCCAATGCAGTACATTACCTCACTCAAATTTTGCTTTGTCTTTTCACAGAGGGTTCTACTGAATCCTCCCCTTTAAAGGGTTTTTCATGAAAGTACACCTGGATAAAAAGATTTACAATAATTTTCCACTGACATTAAATTGTGCATTGTTATTCTCTAGGGGTAGGCCATAAACACTGCTTAGGCATTGAACAAAATTTCCTGTCATTAGCTAGGGTTATCTTTGTCTATTGCTTGTATGGCCTGAGATTTGGGTAATAGCTGGGAGTTATACATCCTAGCACATGGAGTTCTTAGACCTCAAATATCTTCATAAATTGTTGTACAAGCTTTCCTCAAAAATAACAGTATTTGTTGAGCAATTGTCCTAATTTATCTGCAAAACTACTCTTCATGCACACCCAGAGGGATAATTTTTCCTGTGGTTTTTTTGACTCATGCAGAGAATAAGATTTTACTATAGCCATTTAGGATTTTAAAATCTAAAGATTTGTCAGAGGCCAGCATAAGAGATCTCAATTGCACAGATAGGCATTATCTGATTAAGCAAGGAAAGAAGACAAGCTGGTTTCCAGATTGTGAGGCATGGATTATATTTAGATTAGACTGCTCATCTATAGATATCACTTTCATGGAAAAATAAAAAGGAGATGAAATAAATAATCTATATATGATAAGATTACAGGATCAAAAGAAAAAGAAAAGAATGTTAGTTTTAAGCAGGGGGGATCCAAAGCTATGGAGTGACAGGAATTTCCCAGAACCTGCTTTTGTGAAAGACTGTATGGTGGTACAGAACCCTCAGGATAAACCCAATACTTTCATATATGAGGGATGAGATGACCGTGGACCTTTAGAAAAATTTGCTTTTTTCCTAATGGTGGGATTGGAAACCACCTCCAAGCTCCAGGAGGTTTTTAATGAAAATTAATCATTAAAGAGCAGATTTTTAGCTTGCAATCTGTCAGCAGAGTAATTTAGTAACTAAGCATGTGTTAGTCAGCTTTGCATTACTGTGATGAAAATACCCCATAAGAACACTTGAGAGGAGGAAAAGTTTACATGGGTTCATGATTTCAGGGTTCAGCCCTGGTCGGCYAACTCCACTGTTTCAGGACTGAGATGAGGCAGAACATCATCAAAGAAGGGCTCAGTGAAGGAAATCTGCTTAGCTCCTGACAGACAGGATGCCGAGAGAGAGCAGAAAGAGTCAGAGACAAAATATATAATCCCCAAGGCATCCCACCCCCAATGACCCACTTGCTGTAGCTGTATCCCACTTCCCATATTTCTATTCAAATTATCCATCTATCAAAAGGATTAATCCACTGATTATTTTACAGCTCTCATAATCCATTCATTTTACCTCCTGCTTTAATGCAGAAGAAGCTTTTAGAGGACACCTGATATCCAAACCATAACAGTGTGTTATTCTGGTCACAATCCTATGATTCTTATAGTTAAATACAGATTCAGAAGCTCTAAGTGTGCTCCAAAATACATATGAGTACTTGATGAAATTCTGTTTAATGTTTGTAAAACATGTGACATTTTCCTGCCACATGCACAGATTTTACATTTCTGGCTTCAGGAAGTAAAATGATGTACTGATGAATCGTTGCCAAATACTACACCTTTCAAATTATATGTATGTTTTTGGTTTTACCTTTTCAAAGATTTCAGCCTTGGCGTATAATGGAACTAATTAAATTTTCTTCCCAGGAAGCAGCCAGCTAGACCAGTGCCCCAGGCACATAACCTCAGCTTACAGCTTTTCTTCCCTCATTTATTCTGTATGTGAGATGAGACTCCTCTAACAGCAAAGGTAGAGTACTCAGGCCAGGCAGCTTCTGATGGATTTTAGTAACTACAGAGCCAGTGTTTGAATCTCAACCCTGACAGCACACATCACAAAGGGGTGACAGTGGAGGCTCATCTTTCTGTGAGTTGGCTGTGGATGACAATCTGCCAAACTAAAATAATGGAAAAGGCATTGGTAGTATAAAAATGAATCAATTTGACTTAGCTCTAAGGTATTTTGCAAGATTCTAGGAACATCACTTCATTTTTTCCTGAGATTATTTTTATGAACAACCCAGACAAATATAACAAAAAAAGGATCATGTGAATAAAAGTTTTATTTAGTAATCTCATTAATGCATCTTCATATGAAGCAAAGAAAAACATATTTAATAGCAATAGACTCTTTAGCAGTGACTGTACTCATTTCCTTACATATATTATTATACCTTTAATAAACATACTTTTCCTATTTCATGACTAAAGAAACTATAATAAAATGATTAAACAGTTTCTCCAAGTTWCCAAAAGGAAGATCTGGAATTTAAGCTTTATTTGACTGCAAAGCATTGGCTCTTTTTATGTTAACAGACTGCATAATAGAATAACAGTTCTAGGTTTTAAAAAAAAAGAGATGCTTTTAGACAGAATTATTTATTTTATTTTTTTGCAGTGATAGGAAATGTTCATGCAAGAGAGTGGTAGATGTGCATGTTAAAACATGCTTGTGGGCATGGGATTTATCTTAAATTATAATACCTGAGAAGAATTTCCTGTTGTTATTCATATTAAATTATATAAAACGTGGATTTTATTGAAGATAGTCCTGTTTTGCAGAAAGGGCTCAGTATCACCCCCTGGAAATAGGCAAATATGTTTCAAAGAAAGCAGTGATGGTATAACATTAAGGTATTATATGGATTTGAGTACTGAAGAATTTATATGGTTTCACTGAAAACCAAGAGAAATAAATGAATCTAAGTTGTTGTCTTATGGGGTAACATAAGGATATATTTATGTAGCAGATAAATAGTAAACTATCAAAAACAATAGAATAGTATGATGTAAGCAATTACATATAGATATATAAAATAAGGATTAACTCATTCATTTCTGGAGTAAAAGCAAAGTGGTTCTTTTCAACTTCTACATTATTAAATCTCTTTAAATTCCTAATTACATTTTTGAACAAGACATCTTTCTTCATTTTTTTCCCCTCCAGTTGGACAGTGTCACCTCCCTGATCCAAGCAGCCAAAAATTTAATGAATGCTGTAGTGCAAACAGTGAAAATGTCTTATATCGCCTCAACCAAGATCATCCGAATCCAGAGTCCTGCTGGGCCCCGGCACCCTGTAGTGATGTGGAGAATGAAGGCTCCAGCAAAAAAACCCTTGATTAAAAGAGAGAAACCAGAAGAAACGTATGCAGCCATCAGACGAGGCTCCGCAAGGAAAAAAATCCATCCAGTGCAAGTCATGAGTGAATTTAGAGGAAGACAAATCTACTGAAAGCACTATTCTGCACGGGTGCCCACATTAGGAAGTCTGAACTAACCGCACTGCTTTATTTTACACTTGATTAGTTCTGTAATTTCACTAAGTTTCAGAGTTTAACTCACAAATAACATAAAAAAAAACATCGAAACTAAAACAACATAAACAACATATATTTGGGGTCATGTCACTGTTATAGTTGGCACATAATGGTTAATCATCCTATGCTGGTCCAGTGAATGAAGCCTTTAGGTGTTACTCAGCCTGTCCCATCTATTCATTACCAAATGAACACAGGTGACAAATGAGTCTTGTTTATCTGTAATAGTTCAAGTACCTTCACTCTTTTCATTGTGAAATTCAAATACTGACATTAACTCAATTTAGTTTCAATGGAAACAAAAGACTTTATAAAATATTTTGTCAGTTAATCTCCATACTTTCTTTATCTGACCTAACCTGATGGGAATGCGTGACTTCTTTGATAGGAAAAACTTTCAATCTCTACATATTTGTTTCTATTTTCAACTGATTAATCTAACGTCTATCATTAGCTAATCAAATTGAGCAGTGAAGTTACTGGATTTTGGAGGCCAGCCTTGGTTATTAACAAAATGCTTTAATATTATAAAGATTACAGTGACCTTTGATGCCAGGTATATAGCTTTTAGGATTCCATTGTGTTCAATAGTTCTGCACTTTTGATTACTGGGGCCTTTGGAACAWATATGTAGAAGAGCTATCACCTGTTGGGTAACTGAGATACTGAACTACGTTCCAGAGTAAGTTATGATAACAGAAGTATGCAGAATTCTGCATGACTCTAAAATTCCATTTCTATCTGCTTGCAATTGTAATTAAAAAGAAAGGCCAGTTTGAAAAACCTTTTGGCATTGAGTAAAATATAACTCAGTGAATTGTACCATTGAACTATGAAACAGAGTTAATGGCAATGAAGCTGGAGTGATCTTAATAGCATTCTTTTAAATAAAAGTCATTGGGGGTCATTTTATAAGTTCAATAACTGTGCTCATTCAGAGTTGAGTTCACAATGGACATCCTAATAGCCTAGTATTTACTCTATCTTTCTCCTTTTCCTATTGGATTTTCAGTGAGCTCCTTGTAGAAATTAAGCCTCATCTTTATTTGTCTCACCCATGGGGTTTCCATTCATAGGATTTTTAAAATATTAATTCCATATTCTATTTTATCATAACAACATTATAAATTTAATTTATCACGTGTAAAACATTGTTATTGACGAGCAGTTTCAACCACCATATCCCTTTAGATTGATGAAAAAAATATAATKTTTTTCATATAACACCAATTGATGTTAGGAGCACCAATTTGGGTAAATGGAGTCACTAAACATAAGAAAGCATATAGTTCAAGAGCAGGTTATATATGGTAAATTGAGCAAAATGGTATGGGAAAAGAAGGATATAATTAATAGTCTGGCATTAATTATGAGTGAAATGTTCCCTTTCCTTAATTATAATGAATCATTTAATTTTTCAAAGTGCTGAATTGCCTGGGCTCTRTGTGCATACTTTTTAGGAATTAAAGACAATTAACTCCTTTCTGCCTTGCACCGCATTCTTGCCACAATATTTATTCTGACCAAAGTCAAACACCTAAGAAAGAAGGCAGTGAAGAAAAAAAATTAAAAATTCAGGTGGCTCTATTTTGCAGAACTATCCAGACAAGTAAGGCAAATGGGGTTTCTTTTGTTGAAATGYTCCCATTGTATTCTTCTGCAAGTGTTGAGCACCTATATCACATCCTTCTATCAGGTTCAAGTGTGAACTTATTATTTAGCTGAGAAATGAATTTTCTTTGAAATTCATCAAACATCTAGCTCTTTATCTTAGCTCCTAAAGCCACATGCACACAATTTGGAAGAGTTTCATTTAGAAAATCTAATATTCATTTGGCCCTATATGTTGTCTTTCCACATGTTAGAATTTAGAATGCAGTATTGGGACACCAATTACCAAATAACTTTTATCTCTTGAAATAAAAGTGACATTTTACCCAACATTATATGTGAACAAGTCTTTCTCTATAATATAGGTAGGTTTCCAGCAGCTTAGCTCCAAGAAAACAACTGTGATTAAACAAAACAATAAAATTTTTAGCTCTGCAAAAGTCCCAGGAGTAAATCTGCAGTATTAATCAAAGGGGCAGTAAAAACAAGATGCATAAAGCTGGGAAATATATCTGTCCACGTGAGCAAATTCCTGCAGTAGACAGAATTTCAAAATTTTATTTAAACCTGTGATAATACATATGTGTATACCAAAAAGCAAAACAAAACAAAACAAAAAAAAACCTAGTAGTAGATCTGTGTATTATAAAGCATAGGTAAATAAATACGTTCAATAAGCACATTTTTATTGGACTTATTTGTATGTAGGCCTTTCTTCTGCAGAGGAATACTGGAAATTTCTTAATTAGAGTGATAATACGGAGGCCCATTATGAATCTTTGAAATCATATATATCATCAAGATTGGTATCTCCTCTGATAATATACTTACTTGATCTTACTAATTAGAACACACCCTTCTCTTCTGTTGAAATTGATTTATGTTCATTTGCATAGRAAAAAAATAAGAGGAAAGAGAAATTTTATGCCACCCACAAGGACCATTCCATTCYTGGTGAGCCACCTGCATCACTGCCAAATGTTAGACCAGCATCAAAATAACTTGGAAAATATCCATGAAATCAAATCCATTAAAGATGATTCTTCTAATTATAAAAACTAGAAGGTTTTCACCAAATATAAAAGGTGAAAAATATAAATCCCTATCACAAATTAAAAATTATTAAGATTAAAATGTTTTTACCCTAATGAATTTCTGGATAGTTCTTGAATGAGTCAGAGGTGCGCGGGGAGAACCTCAAACATCAAATTTCTATGCAAATCTCTGAATTATTACATTCTGTTTGGCTTTGATATGAGTGCAACCTACAATGTGTTAGAAAATATGATGTAAAATACCAGCTACTTGGGAACCTGAGCAGGAGGATTGCAATTTGGAGATCAGCCTGGACAACTTAGCAAAACACTTCTTCAAAAGAAAAAGTAAAAAGGGCTAAGGATGTAGCTCAGTGGTATCACACATGACTAGGATGCATGAGGCTGTAGGTTTAATTCCCAGTACCAACCCCCTGTCCCAAATTTATATAWATAATTTTTCCTTCATATCCATCACAGTGCCTTTTGACCTTTGGAAATCTTTTAGGATCAATAATATATATGTTCCCCATAATCTCTTTTGTACAGCAATAAGGACTCCATGCCTACAGAGAGGACTATTCTTGCAATCCTAGATTATTAAAAAGAGTTTTGGAAAAGGTCAGTTTTTCAGTCCTACTGTGGTAAGTTAGTTAAAATTGTGAGTATTTTTGAATTAAATATTTGTGAATTAAATGCCCAACTTGGGCCTTCAAACTTAATAATGCTCCTCAAATTCAATAATGAGTGACTAAAAAGACGGGCTGGGGTCTTCAATGTCTTCCTAAATCTTCACTTTTTGGGTGATCTCATTTCTTATTTAAGCATCTATAAATTGACAAATATRTTCTGTAGAATTTCAGTTAAATTTATACAAGTTTTTATTTCCAGCAGAATTATTCCTTTACTCTTTCTAAACATTCTTTTTGGTGTCAAATACGTACTTTAATGCTAGGGATCATGGTTCCCATGGATACGGATTCCTGTACAGTAGCCAARTGAATGGAATGAGATCTAAGACCTTTCCTGGTGTTATCTACCATTCTCTAGTGAACTTCCTGCAGAATTGCCAGCCTGCTTCAGTATTGTCATAAGTTATTGTCTAGGTTAGAAAGACAGGTGCCAAAATATCAATTTCRATGAAAACTGTACTTTCTTTTATCAGCTTGTCTTTAGCCAAAACAGCTCACCTATGGTATATTTAGGAATCAGCTATATATTTTGTGTTTCTAAGGTCCAAAATATTTGTTTCGCCTATCAAAAAGTTTAGGGGCACACACTTAAAAACTTGCATGTTACTTTTTAAGTAAACTAGGAAAATTTCTACAAGCTATGATGTTATTTTTTTTTTCTATGTTCAAATATCAGGAAACAATATTTATCTAAAGGAAAACTCCCCCCTTTTTTTTCTTTGCTTCTTTTCCCATACCATTAGGATATGTTCAGTGTTAGTATTTTGCCTGTAACTCCCCAAATACACAAGGAAGGCCTAATGACAAAAGCATCGCATATGGGATTGCATGTGTGCACCACTGTGCCCCACTGGGACTTCCATTTCTATTATTATTATATTATTTTTAGTTGTCAATGGACCTTTATTTATTTATATTCGGTACTTATTTATTTATATGAGAATTGAGCCCATTGCATCACACATGGTAGACAAGCACTCTATCACTGAGCTACAACCCCAGCCCTCCACTTCTAATAATGGTGGACTAAGTAGTTTGGGTTTAACCCCTTAATGAAGTCAACTAAATAAACTGAATGAAATATGAAAAAACTTAATGTTTCAAAATGAGCTCACAGAATAGTGAAAAGTTACAAGATCAAGATGCCAAAGAGAATTTTTTTGGAAATCAAGAGAAAAGAGAATGAAAGTTATGGCCACTTTTGAATCAGAAGAAGCAGATAAAAGACAGAACATCATCTTTTTTTTTTT